AATAAACATTGTTTATAACTTCCTTAGTCTCAATAGAATAGTGTTTTCTACATTTGGGGGGGGGGGGGGAGCATCTCCTGAGATACACTAGACTCGCACATATTTTGCATAATTCCCACACGATTCAACACACGCTGTATTACACACGAAATAAGAATAATCACTAATAAACTTAAACTAAGTAGTATACCAAACCAAAGATTAAACACAGGTAGGTATAAAATTATTTTCTATTGCGGACCACAACTTTACCTGAATTTAAATTCCGAAACTTGTTGCATTGTATGTGGCTTTTACTTGATGAAAATCCATTTATTCAAATAAATAAGAACAAAAAAGTTCAGATTTTCACGAAATTATATATTTTTTAACATTGTTTCGACAACACCGTGTCTTTATCAAATGTAATATTTACAAATTACCTGCTACTATATATACCAAAAAATGACCATAAAACCTTAATTAATGTTGTTGTGAGAATTTAAGTTCAATAAAGGACAGGTATTTAAAACTAATTGATCGTTAAGCAATACATTTAAATATCTCATTTTGTTAATCTCCATGGCTTCCAATAAATTTAATTTTCTACTTTTTGTGCCTGTATGTAAAATATCAAAATTGTCGTCAAAATGTGTTTTTCTGTGTTTAAGTGTGTAGCATAAATAGAATCTAGACTGTTGTTTTTAAACGCTCCTTTATGTTCGTTAATGCGTTTCTTGAAGGATCTATCTGTTTGTCCAATATATATTTTAGGACAAGATCCGCATTTCAACCTGTAGACACCTGATTTTTGAGATTTTGGACTTTCGTTTTATTGTTTTTTGAAATTTTTTCCTATTGTGTTGTTAGTTCTGAAAGCTATTTTCAAAACAACATTTTGACAAATGTTTTAAAACATTTTCACTTCATTCTCCTATGTATGTAACTGTTTTAAATTGTTTGTGTTCTGTATTAGGTTTCAGATAAATAGAGTTTACTGTTGTCTGGATTTGTTTTTTATTTATAATTTTGTCTATAATGGACGGATTGTAGCCATTGTTCAGTGCAATTTGTTTAATGATATTAATTTCTTTATTGTAATTTTCTGTTAAGAGTGGCGTACTAAGAAGTCTGAGTGAAATGCAGCCATTTTGTGTGTATAATGGTGATTTGAGCTGTTATGTATGACTGTTTTCGTGTGTGAACGTTTATGATAAATGGAAAAATCTAATTTGTTTTGCGTTTTCGTAATAGTTAAGTCTAAAAAATTCATAGAGTTATCCTGTTCAATCATAGTCGTATAAAATTCACTATCGAGATTGAACAGGTTATCTCTATTAATTCTTTAGACTTAACTATTACGAAAACACAAAAAACAATTAGATAACATAACAGCTCAAACCACCCATATGCACACAAAATGGCTGCATTTCACTCTTTTATACACAGACTTCTTAATACGCCACTCTCAACAGAAAATTACAACAAAGAACTTAATATCATTAAACAAATTGCACTGAATAACGGCTACAATCCGTCCATTATAGATAAAATTATAAATAAAAAACAAATCCAGACAACAGTAAACTTTACATACATACATACATAGGAGAACTTAGTGAAAAAGTTTCAAAATATTTGTCAAAATGTGGTTTAAAAATAGCTTTCAGAACTAACAACACAATAGAACATTTTTTAAAAAACAATAAAACGAAATGTCCAAAATCTCAAAAATCAGGTGCCCACAGATTGAAATGCGGATCTTGTCCTAAAATTTATATTAGACAAACAGGTAGATCCTTCAAGAAACGCATTAACGAACGTAAAAGAGCGTTTAAAAACAATAGTCTAGATTCTAATTATGCTACACACTTAAACACAGAAAAACACATTTTTGACGACAATTTTGATATTTTACATAAAGCCACAAAAAGTAGAAAATGAAATTTATTAGAAGCCATGGAGATTAATGAAATGAGACATTCAAATGTCTCGTTTAACGATCAATTAGATTTAAATACCTCTCCTTTATTGAATTTAAATTCTCACATTAATTAAGATTTTATGGTCATTTTTGGGTATATAGTTTGTAAATATTACATTTGATAAAGACATGGTGTTGTCGAAAAAAATTGTCATGTCAAAAAATACATGATTTCGTGAAAATCTGAACTTTTAGTTCTTATTTATTTTTTAATAAACTTACGCTGCAGATCTTTAGTTTTGATTAGTTGTCAAAAGAAGAACATTGTTAAAACAATTGCAAACATAGATAATATGGTTGCTATTAAGGCAGACTTGACTATTTTAAAACGATATGGCTATGGTCCAGAAATCGAATGATAATTAATTTTAAACTGAAATATCTCAAAAACGGCTACATGATATATATTTTTGAAATCATGAAAAGAAGATTTACGATTTAAGCTAATGATATGTGGGACATTCCATTAAAAAAAAACATGTTGCTGCCATTTTGACAGCTCGCGATCCTCGTTTGTTTTTTCTGACATTTGCATAAGATAATAGAGCAAAAATCTTCAAACTTTTGTATTTACACTTTTTTCGAAATTAATTATAATGGACAGCCCAGCACAAGTGAACCAAAAGTTTTTTCAATATTTTTTACTGGTTCTAAGACAAAGTTTCAACCCGCAATAAACGGACCACTATACGGTTTTCATAGTATTACGTTCCCGAAGGTTAAATTCCTGAAAAAATAAAATGCGAAAATTAAATTCGATATTTTTCCAGTGAAATTTATGCCCGAAAACGCAGCGGCGCCGCAGGTCCAACAACCGATGAACGTAGCCCCAGTAAACAGTCAAGTATCAAGCGGCTCGGTTCCAGTGGCGGCGGACGCGTCACAACCCCAGGCCGGTTAAATTTTCGATAACGATTTCTTTCGATTGTCTTAAAATAACGCTTTCGGTTTTCTTTTTATAATGCTACACGAATATTGGAACAGTCAATATGATATTTTAGAACAAATTTTTCGTCATAGATATGTCTGCATCAGTGATATAGTTTGGGATATCCCGGTAAGAGCAAGGAGATAATTATTTCAGATGTCTATTTTATTAGCTGGATATCCATGTCATGTTTAATTTAATTTTAAATGGACATAAATGGGTAAATAAAGATCGACTCAAAAAGTTTATAGTCTGTACCAGTTAGTTGGTGCTTATAAAATAACAATAGAAACATTTTTTATAAACAAAACGAATTCCACAACCGAGTTTATTGTTGCAAAACAAATAAATATATAATATTATATTAAGAAATTGCGAATGGTGCAATCTTGCCCTTGCATGTTGGAGAAAAGGAGACATTTGTACTTGGAATGAAATCTCTGCTTGTTCCGTCTCTGCAAGAAAAGTGTTATTAGAACATGTTTAGAAATAAATATGGATAACTCAAAAAGGGCTTAATGCATTTTAATAAACTTGGAGTAGTTAAAAAGGGGTTTTCTTGGGCTATCAATCTTGATACAAGTGAAACGATTGCAATCGCGTATCTTGCGCGTCCTGGAATAATTTGTGAAAAAAAAATGCAACGATACAATTTTGCTTACTCTGATAGTCGTGGCCATAGAAAAAAAAGATGAAGATTTTGCTTAGGTTCTTAGATCAAATAAAATACGAATAAAAGAATTTAAAACCAAAAAGGTTGTTTTTTTTTTTAATTAGTTCTACTTTATTAATTATTTGTTAGTAATTAACAATCGAAACCGTACAGAAATTTTGGATGTCAAATATTTATTATCGAAATGAAATGGTATTGTGGTGTAAAATAAGTGACAATACTAAATTCGTCGAAAACTGCCTAATTTTTTGAGCTTCGTAGTACTTCAAAAAAAGGTAGTAAAGATAAGTAACAAAATCCTATTTAGTGGGATCTGAAATATCATTTCATGATCAATAAATTCCAGATAATTAGATATTAATAACAACCCGGAAATGTTTCACAAAATTCCACTTTTTTTTAGTTTTATGGTCGTTTGTTCATATTTTATGTTAAGATATTGACAATTTCACTATCTAATGACGCAAAAAAGTCATATCGCGATTATGTCAGAAAGCGCCACCTAGTGGCAACGTAATCAATCGCAATCACCTTACTCACAGCACAATGGCTAGCCTATGTAACGGCATTTTGGAGTTATCGACATTTATTTCCTTTTACAGATTTGAATTTTTCGCAACTTTAAAACGGCACTCACTCCAACTATGGTTAAAACAAAATTTTTGTATTTATTTAGCAACTTACCTTTCTCAATTTCCCAAAACCGTACGCTTTCCTAATGCCGTACCTCGTTGCAATTACCAGGACATCCGGTATATGTAAAAAAAATTACTGTACATTTTTTAACGCAGATGCGTGTGCTACATGTATTTGCAACACAGTGGTGTAGGTAATAACATCAAATTAGATAACGCATTAATTAATGTGTTGAATGTAAATTACATTTTTGAAAGGTTGTTACGCTAGGAAACTAAACAGTACAGTGAATGCCAAATTGGCTGGACCCTAAAAAACCACTTAACATACATTTCCAGCGACACCGGATATTTCCACAAAATTCAGAAATTATATATTTCCATTTAGTCAATATTCGCATGTCAAGAAACAGTTGGCAATGTTAAACGGGACATTAAGAATATAAAAACGGTTTTTGGATAGATGTTTCTGTTTTAACCTTTGTAAAATTTGAATGGATCCTGTAAATTCAAAAGTTGTGAAAATATCCATTTATTAGTTAGGTCGTTATTCCAGTTGTACCAAATGTTGGAAATGTATGTCTCTAATGGTGTGCAAGATAGCCTATAGGAGCAACTAATTTGGGAAGCACTGCACATATAAAAAAAGTACAATTATTTTTATCTTGCATTATGATAGCTTAAATACTACATACTACTAATTATTGATTGTAAACTCAAATTATTTATAATGGAGTAGCTGGGATGTAAATGTAAAAAATTAAAATTCCGTTAGTAAATAAATAAATGACTTCTTTATTCAGAACATAATATGACTACAAAAATATTTACTGCCCTTCCGACTTCCTTACATTTTTGGCCATTTCCATTTCATATTTTAACTTGGCCCAAATACCCTGGCACATTCTCAACAGCCTTTCGTCTTTCACAACTTGGCTTTTCGCACTTTCATATTCCGCAAGGATTATGCGTCTTGCTGCCTTAAACCTCTTCATTTGTATTAAGCTCAGGCTTAAATAAAGGCGACATCTTGCAACGATGGAGGCGTCACCTAAAAAATATGACCAACTTTCTCCAACATGATAGGTTCTAACGACTAGAAAACCAAACCTAATCTTAATGCGAGTCTCAACTGATTGACGGATATTTTCCCAGCAGTTTCCGCACACCTTTCGAAATAGTCCCCTAACGCTGAAAAAGCTCCGCCCAATGTTGACAACCACGACAGTGCATGATCCAGTTCGCACTTTTCACGCACTAAACAATATAATCTGTAATTCCATTTATAATCTATTAAATCCACCGTGGTGGGCTCGAGAATTACAATTAAACGGCCGACGTATTGGGACCAACAGTTTAGAAAATGATTTCTATACATTACACTAAATTTTAACTCCCGTAAAAGGTAGTACACGAATGTGCAATCCAACTTCCATCGCGTCTTGGGTTTTGCCGTAGAACTCACTACTTCACAGATACTGCTTTGAAATTCTTCATAATCTAATTTAATTTGGTCATACGTATAATTATCGTAACTTTTTAAAACAATCTTCATATCGCTACGAATAAAAACAATTGTAGGTTATGGCCAGAACCATAGTTCCAATAAATAAATATGGCCAGAACGTAAAGCCTAAAATAGTTCTCCGTTTCCTCTAAAAAATTAATGACCAATTATGTGATTGGTTTTATATTGGTATAATTGACATGAATAGATTTTAAAAATATATTACTTTAATTGAACATCTTTACGACACATGAGATTCCTTGAACAACTTATAAATATAATATAATAACAAATACCTCATATAATATAAACACTCTTCAACACAATAAATATATAAGCTCATTATTTTATTTTAAAGCAGTCTGAAATAATGACTCTAGTATTTTAGTTCATTCGATTAGCTATAGCTATCAAAGTGATCTAAGGATGGCAATGACATTTTCATACAGAAAGGTATGATTTTTCGAGAATACCTTTTAATTCTGCACACTAACCTTCATTTTGCGCCATTTTATTTGTAAACAGCGACCTTTACACTCACTTAACACGTTTTTCACATTATATTCAACCAGATCTGGGCGTATTTTGAGAATATGCTGCCGTAGAACTGCTATATCCCAACTGACTTTATTGAACGTGGTCTGTGCCTGTCAAATTTTACGAACTGTCAGCGGCCATGTTACCGCTAGGTCTTATTAGTTTTCAAACCGAATGACTTTTTAATATTTTTTACATCGTCCGCTTCAAAAGTTGCTAATCATTAATTATTTTACTATTTAATGATTTCCTGTGATGTTACCTAATTTAGGAAATCAATTCTGGAAACCTACTTATCCTGGTAATAATTCTTCTGAGGATCTTTATTACAACAACCTTTGATAGCGGATTCCCTCTAAAATCCCGCATAGAGTATCCCAAAGAGGATAAGGAAAAGTAAATTACTGATTATCGATCAACTTTTTTTACTATACTAGTAAATATTTATACTCTGTAAATGTGGTTTTGTTAAATATAATATAATATAAATTTAATTGTATAGACGCCAAAGATGGAAAGACTTTGTTCAGTATAAAGGGTCTTCAAACAGTCTATGAATTTGTTGCGATCATCTTGAAAGACGTTATATCAAGAAAAATATACCACCCACTCGACTATTAGTACCAAATGCTGTTTTCACTTTACTTCCGCCTGATAATATTTTGAAGATGCCCAAGAATATGTCTAAACTTCCGTTGACAAGTGTAATTGCGAAAAATTCGTTGGTAAACATCAACAATTACGAAGTTATATTTGAACGTCCGGCTTTGGAAGGTATTGCTATAAGGAAAACTTAGATAATTTTTGTAGTAGTAAAACAGAAAAGTATTGCTAATATCCATAATGTTATTCTTATTACAGATGAATGCTCACATATTGACAAAGGCATTACTTTAGAAGTACGCAAGGCTACTGATAATGAACCAGTTTTAATTAATATTGAAACAAATAGCTTTGTAAAAATTTTAATTTTTTTTTTAAATCAGTTAATTGTATTTAATATTCAAATTCATAATCTTTTGCGTTTTTATCAAGTAAAAGAAGCTGACCAGGCGATAGAAAATCAAATAAACCCAAAAGAAGATTAAATGCAGAAGATCTGCTTAAAAAAAGAACATAAAGAAATTCAGTGATATTCAACTGAGAGATAGTTATTTGAAAATTATCACTATTGTACTAAGCAGTCTCACAATTTTCCCATATTTTTATTATTTCAGTACCAAAGAAAATGTGATATTTATAACATGGGAGCCTTCCACTCTATCTTATACTCTCTCGAGTATCCCAAAAACCAAAAAGTTACCAAAAGAAACTCAACCTTCTAACCTCGCATCATGAAAATCCCTAGTCCTAGCTGCTTTCCATCTGGCGTCACACCGTAAAACTAACAAAAATAAATAAAAATTTGAACGTGCGCATGTTAGATGGCGCTAAGACGTTGTTGAAGAAGTATACAAGCAAAGAAAAAGTATGCTAAATTGTTATTGTTAACATTTGCCCAGACCAATTTGTGATCACGTGACCAAAATCAAACAATACGTTTTACGAAAAAAAAATACAAAAGTTTACTATTCAATTCTATATTACAAATACTACAAAATAACGAGAAATTAAGGCAACAAAATACTTGTAAGTACAGCTTCACACATCCATTTTTACAAATTTTGCAAAATATTTAAGTTCAAGTTCTTCCTTTTTTCCTTTCTCTGTTCTTTAACATCACGATTCGCAAATTTTATCGTGAAATATATTCGTATCCTAATATACAGCGCGACGAAATATTCAAAGGGAAAGTTTTCGCATGGATGCGCAAAAGGTACGTTTTTAAACAGATCCATTAGTTTTCGACCGATGTGGTTTTGACACGCCAGAGTATTGAAATTTTCGACAAAAATATTCTCTAATTTAACGATAAAGTCTACAGCAGGAGCATTTAAACTACCGCATTCGTTAGAACCGCAGGCCTGGAAGAACCACATGGCCTCGTTTTGCGAGGAACAACGTTCGATATAGTTCAGACATACGTCGCAGGTATGTTGGAACAGACTTTTTTTAAGCAAATACTCGGTAACGCAAACCAGCGTGTTACCGTCGCCGCAGGAAATGTTTCTGTAATCGCTCGTGAAAACTTTCAACGGTTTACTTTTCAGCTCTGCCCTTACGCTTTTGCACTTCTCCAACAATTCCGGCGTTTTCAACAAAACCTCGTTGATGTCGTCCACGTAACCCGCACCGTCGGCTCCATTAAAATGTTTAAGCGCGAACACTTTTTTAAACGCCCGGGAAAATTGAACCGGGGTCCGATTCATTGGGTTCCCGTAATTTTTAATATGGCCGAAAGAGTTTTCGATACACTCCTGACCGAGGTTCCTTGTCGGCAAAAATGCGTATCTCTTGGATTTTAACGTTTCCCACAACGCTTTAACGGAACCGATGGTCAATTTCCATCCGTATATAAAATGCATTTGATTGTTTAAACACTTTTCGACGTACTTTTCTCGCCGCTTAACCACTTTCGTAACCGTCAAGTTATCGAACACGGACTCGATTCGTTGCAGAAATTTAAGTTCTTTTTCCGTGCCGGTAAAAGAATTCAACGCGTCCAACAGGTCGTTCATCGTTTTAACGAAACTCGCGGTTGCGGCGGCCTCTGGCGGCAAAACCTTGAAGTCTATGTAGGCATAGAGTGCTGCCGCCACAGAATGACTAAGCATTTGCGATGCGAACCTAACCTTCAATTTATGAACGCTGTCGGGAGATAAGTGCTGGTTAGTCAATTTCGGACAAAGTCGATATTCCCTCTTCGCGTCTTGTTCAAAAAGCGTATCCAAATAGCATTTTTTTACCGTCCCTTCCGGTGTTCGAAAGTTGTAGGAAAACAATTTATTCCTGGTCGACTTTAAGAGGTGAGGTACGTCGAACAGGTACACGAGTCTTACGTCATTTACGAAAAAGAAATTATTTTTTGTAGTAACTTTAAGGATATTAACCAGTTTTCGAAAATTGCTTCCCTGATCCGAAACTACCCCCAGCACGTTAAACCCTATGGAGGTCAACCTTTCGACGCTCTCGAATAAAATGTTTTTCATTTCCTCGGGGGGCGTATTCGAATGGTAGAAGAAATACGCGATGGGTTGGGTCCAGTTGCTCGCCAACCCGCGGACCATAACCACCAAGGCGGTGGTCGCGATTTTCGCGCTATTCGAACTGTGCCCTTCCTGAAAGCCCACTATTTTATCCCTGGAAATGTCGTAGAAGAAATGCGGTTTCACGCCGACTTCGTCCAAGCAGACGACGCAATCTTTCTCGTTGCCTTTGAACAGTTTGCCCCTGAGCTCGAGGAAACAAAAAATGAAGTCGTTAAAACCGGGACTGATCACCCATTTTTTGTTGAAGCGGGTGAGCGTTCTCTTCGAGGGCAACCTGTACAGGGTGTAAAATTGCCTGTATGACTTGGGATCCAAGAAGTAAATGCTCAAAGCGACTTTCTTGAACTCGTCGGTGTACCGGCAACCCTTGGGCGACGTGTTTAACAAATCCAACTGGGTTTTTATTGATTTGAAAGAAGACTCCGAATAATTTTTTTCCAAATATTTGTGCACGTCTTTTATAGTTATTTCCGGTTCCGTCTCGTCGTCAGTTTTCCTTTTCTTTGATAAAGACGTTGATGACTGCGCCTCAGGTCTTTTTAAACTTTTGGTTTCCTGCACCGATTTTGTTTTCTTAGGCGGAACTATGGGGAGGGCGGGTACTGTTTGTATCGACTTATCTAAATTCGTATGTGAAGATACAAATAAATTCCTATACTATGCGGATACCTACCATTTCCAAAAACACACGTTTGAAGAGAAACGTCTTTATAACTTGTGACTATAACTGAAGACAATAATAATATAATTAATTATTATACCTATGAGCTTTTTTATTCTATTTACCTGGCGTATCTTCCGTTTGAAGGGAAACATTCTTAAAGCTCACGTGATCTAAAAAAAATAACAAATTGGTAATGCAAGATCTCAAAACAGATGTTCCAAATATTATACTGTGCTTGGAATACAGCAACAATTTTGGTGTCGGCCATAGGCGTAGGTAAACTTTGTGTAATATATGACTTTTTTGTCATTTTTGACCACTTACTGTCGTATTGAAGGCTTTTTATAGTTAAAGAGAACTCTACTAAAAGAGGTTTATTTAAAACAGCGTCATGAGGTACAAGAAAGAAAAATAAGAAAATCAAAATAAATAAGAACTAAAAGTTCAGATTTTCACGAAATTATATATTTTAACCTAACAATTGTTTCGACAACACCGTAATATTTACAAACTACCTGCTACTATATATACCGAAAAATTACCATAAAACATTAATTAATGTAGTTGTGAAAATTTTAAGTTCAATAATTTAAATCTAATTGAACATTAATTTGAATGTCTCATTTTGTTAATCTCCATGGGTTCCAATAAATTTAATTTTCTACTTTTTGTGGATGTATGTAAAATATCAAAATTGTCGTCAAAAATGTGTTTTTCTGTGTTTAAGTATGTAGCATAATTAGAATCTAGAATTTAAACGCTCTTTTATGTTCGTTAATGCGTTTCTTGAAGGATCTACCTGTTTGTCCAATATGTATTTAGGACAACATCCACATTTCAACCTATAGACACCTGATTTTTGGGATTTTGGACATTTCGTTTTATGGATAATTTGGAAAATATCATACAACATCCTTTAAGTAAAAGTTTTTTATGGTATATACGTGGATGATGTCTTTGCTTACTTTGATGGAACGGACAGACAATTGAATGCTTTTTTAAATTATATTTGCTACTTGCTATCATCTTACATAATACTGATGGTTATTGCACATTACCCCTTTAGGATGGAGTAAAGAGAAATAAATAACAGTTTAATGACAGAGTAGAGTAGTAGAGTAATTAAAAAATATACTAACGCCTTTATAAGTATATTTATTTGGAAGAATGAAGACAATAAAGATGGGTTCACTGTTTTTGTTTTGAAAAAGAGAGACACCCTATTTAGATAAAAATGAGGCATGGCCAGAATTGACAGTTAATCCGTTAATAACTAGCGAACTGTTATAGATCATCATATTGTTTTTTTTTATACATTAAAAACAAAATAAATTTTTAAAAATTGTTTAAATAATAATAAAGCCATTAACCATTTTTTTGTGTCGAAAATAATTTTTGAAAATTGAAGTACCTACAATTTCTCAAAATCATTTTAGGAAACTAGAATGTGGACGTCGCCAAAATAACCTAATATATATATATATATATATATATATATATATATATATATATATATATATATATATATATATATATATATATATATATGATATATAATTAAAACAACTGATTTTGTTTACTGAAAATGGATCATTAAGAACATCAAAAATTAAATTAAAAAGCCCGACTTTTAGGATCAAACCAATTTACTACACTATGATTATTTGTTGTTCTTAGATTTGAAGTTTTGCCAATGTTTTTATTTCTTTTTGTTACAAATATTGCATTTGGGTATTTTAAAAAACATAGTCCGAGAGGTTTAAATTGAAGCACAGTTTTTGAGTTATTTCAAAATACAAAATAAAAACAAAAGATGAAATGTAAAAAATAAACACAGTGGGTGTGGCTCGCGTATATCACATGACTCCAACTGAACTGAGACTGACAAGTGACGATATACCTAATTCTTTTCTTTTTCGATGAGAGAAAATTTTGTTTTTCATTTATTATACTGAAAAAATGTCAACTTGATATTTCTAATGGTTCGATGATTGAAGCAAATGCGGTAAAAAAAATGTATTTTAAAAAATGGATACATACCCTTGGCAAAATGACTTGTTGAAACATCTTCGTACTTTTTGACATCATCTGAAGACAATAACAAAATCAAAATGCGTATCTATTCAATTTTTTTGATTCTATATACCGTGCATATATTCGCTATGAAGCAAGACACTTTCGTAACTGCTACAATCTAAAATAGACAGAATACTTTATATCATGCTTCAAGAATATTGTTGAATGTTGAAAGTTTTTCCATAATATTCTTAACATTTCTGTATGATCATAATATTCACCTTTTTCTGTTTTAATAGGAACATCCGCGTGGTCTTCTTCATCTAAAAATATATTAAATTTTTAAAATTTGTTTCTTAACATCCACAGTAATTATCTATTATCTATTTTATGATGTATAACAGTCAAACGCCAAAACCTTAAATTGACTTTATATATTTTTTTTAACGAGAACACTAACTAACCAAAGCCAAACTGCTTGTCAATGTCAATGGAAACAAACCTTTTTCTCCCGCCAATTTTGCACAAATTTTTTCATAAAAACTTTCTTATACATACGATTGGGTACATTTTTCTAACTGTTGCGGTGATATTTAAAACCTATCCCTCAGAGAGCTATAAAGTTTTTTCCGAAGCGAACATTTTTAATACATCGCTTCATCCAGACAATTTGACTATTATTGTAATGCATGCATAACATGCCTTTCGGAAAAATGTATGTCTGAAAAGCGTCTTTGCAACTTTTGACATCTGAAGACAATAAAATTAAAATATACATGCGGCTAAATATTTTAACTATCACCTTGGGTACACTCATTGTGAAAAGAAACATTTCCGTAGCTTCCATCATCTAAAAAATTTATGAAATATTAATAGATGGAAAAGTTGGGAAACATAAGTACCTTACAATTTAATATTTTTTGCGATTCTATATCTTAATAACATTTACCTTTTTCTGTTTTAATAATAATGTCTGTGGGGTCTCCTTCATCTAAAATTTAACATTTGAAAATTTCTAAATAGTTAAATTTATTACATATTATATATAAATTTTATAATGAAACTGGCTGTATAATATCAAACGTTAACATTACCATCACTTTACATTCTTTTACTTTTGCTTTATGTATTCATCAATACAGCTTCAAGATTATCTTTAAGTAAACAAATTATTCAAAAATGCTACTATTCGCTGATATGTTTTTTTTTATCATATTCTCATTAAATAATCTATGGCTTATTTGTATTTTTACATTAATTGTTTTGTGCTGTAAACTATTGTAACATTTATATTTTATTTTTTCTGTTTGGCCTGTTGAGGTAGCGAAATAAATTATATTCTATTTTATTCCGGTTACCTTACCTTTCACATAAGCATATTGGATATGAGAAATATCTTCATAACTGTTGGCAACATCTGAAGATAATTATAAAAATAAAATATTCAGATATTTTAATCCTATATACCTGTTGTATCTTCTGTGCGTATTGAATCATTTTTGATGAGCTCATCATCTAAAACATTAACACCATATGAATATTTGACGAAACATTTTTAGTATTTCTATGCATGTATATTTTATTAACAATTACCATTTTCTGTTTTAATAGAAACATCGTTGTGGTCCTTAACGTCATCTAAAATATTTATAAAATTTAAAATTTATGTATATAATAGATAATATAAAACCACAAAGGGTTTACCATTTTTCAACAAATTCAATGAGGGAATAGCATCGTAATCTAGGTGACCTTTCATATTGTGTTTTATATAAGTTCCTTCAGGAAAGTGCAAACTGCAAATTTTTATCCTAGCTTGACATTGTTCCGGGGTCAAATTTGCATATTTATGGTTACCAACAAACCCCAACGCACGTTTCCAGTTTTCGCATCTAAAAAAACATTTACTTTCTTATATTTTATCCAAACCAAGTTTATAGTCACCAACAGTTCAATAAGGGTTGCATGGGGCATTGCGGCAAAGGTTGAAGTTATAAGCAACTAAACAAGACAAGTTGTTCATGAAAACTACCTTACCTGGACTTGTCTTTAGGACATCGAAAAAATGATATTCCTTTTACTTGTTTACTGGGGCAACCATCTGCACTGCACAACATCGGCATTTTTTATCTACAAAAATGGTAAAACACACAGAAGTCTAGGTTATGTTGGTTATGTTTGCAATAACATTCCGATGGCAGATCCAAAGAAGCTAATAAATAATGCATTTTGCTATCCTCTGCTCAAAAAGAGTAGCATTAAAGAGTGAGTGAGAAGGGCATCAAACTATCATTTATTGGCTTATAATAAGGGGCCCATAGAATAATATATTGAAAGAGTATAAAGGTTTTTATTCACAGACCATATACATTATATACGGGTTACTAACGCACCCAGTCAGTCCTCTTTCGTGGTCCATAAATGACATTTCGGCCTTTGTGCAGCGACCTAGCGACATTTTGGGTCCCTTAAAACACAATATTTATAATTATCGTTATTTGTGAGGAATGAGCAAAGCAAGCAATAATTTCTTAACAAATAAATAATATCTAAACATATTTATGTTTGTGTTTTCGTGTATTAGCTAATAGTTGTAAAATAGAAATCGCAGAGGTTTTTTCAAATTGTTCACTTTAAAATGTTCACTTAATAATCAACTACCAATAATGCGGTTCATACACATTTTTGCATGCTTTCAAACATTGCCTAAGGAGGTTCAATTAATTGAAATCTGTTTAATTATTTCTCTGCTTTATATTTTATCTGTGCTTTTGGTTCGTTTAGTGAAATTTGAAAGATATATTAAATGTAAGTTTAAATAAAATTGATTAAAACTGTAGAATATAGTTTCATTTGAATTAATTTCTATTAAAAATTTATTTGTTCTGGGAACTGCAGAAAAAATAATTTAGCAGCGAAACCCAACGACGTGTGTTCATAATTTTCAGTTGGCAGCATTTGACGAAATGCGTTTGATTTGTGGCATTTTTGGTGCAAGAAAACAAGAATTTTTAAATGTTGTTTGTCCACAAATCTTTCTGGATGCAAAATTTGATACATACGAAACTGCTGGAAAAATGGATTAAATCTGATTAACAAGCGGTTGACCCATAAGAATAAATAATAAAGAGACGCCATTTTTGCAATATAACTGTCAAACCTTGGAGAAGGTGCTCTGTCAAATATTTATTTGGGTTTAATAAACAATAATATTGCAAATTATCGTAACGTTTTGGCTTACTTGCAATTAATATTTTTGTAAGCCGTAAGTATTCAATTTTTATGTTTCCTAGATTCGATGCCAATCGCTTCACATTGGCGTATTAGTTTCCTTGGTTTTTAGGTCAAATTTTCCAATATGGGCAATTGAGAATCCGGTAAGGAATATCGGAGCCTATTCACAATGTAAATGGGCATGGAAAATAGAAATAGTATGATGCAAAGTGCTGCTAAAGTGCCCATTGTTGATTTGAATGATTGCATTACTTGCAGACTATGTAGAGGTTATTTTATCGATGCTACTACAATCATTGAGTGTTTACACACATGTAAGTATTGTTATGTGGAGAGGCATTTAAGGTAGACATTCTGTTTTCTGATTAATTAAAATTTTTTGTGTAAAGTGGGATGTAAAATTAAAGGATCACTGCCTTTTTGTTATCAGATGGGGGTATAGTTATAAAACTGAGCAAATAAGGTTATCGGTATTATTTACATCCCTTGTTTTAGTCTGTAGGAGTTGTATAATTCATTATTTGGAGACAAACAAGTACTGTCCAGTTTGCGATGTGCAAGTTCACAAGACGAAACCTTTGCTTAATGTCCGGCCCGACAAAACTATACAAGACATCGTCTACAAATTGGTTCCAAGATTATTTCAAAGTAGGTGATTTTCAGACACTGCTGAGGTCGAACTACACAAGCAAGGGGATGGTTCCTGGATTAGAGTAAAGAGTAGTTTGTTGTATTACTGATGGATATTTGTTTCATAAAATTTATAGTTTCCAAATGGCAAAACAAAAATACGAACTACTATTACTATTATCCCTGATGAAATTTGTTATTTATAGGGCAACTACTCATCATTTTAAACAAGGATCGTCCCTTTCAGTTTTTCGCATTTATTTTTAAGCACCCTGTATAGCAAGGGACTACTCCTTTTTTAGATGAAGTCCAAAGAAGAAAAGTGTATTATGACACTCACCCGGAAGTACAACCCACTAGTTTTGAAGAAAGCTCGATAGAGCGGTATCGGTACATATTAACGCCGGAGGAAACCATTTCCTTGACATTAAGTTATGCCGGTTGCACCAACAAACCAAGGTTAATATCGCCCACTTGGTTTGCTCCTCGTCGAAGCGATTCAGGAATTTTCTTTTTAGGTATTTTAGGTGTCCTTCGGCTGTTTCCATTGCGCACCTCAAGAAACTCATCTGCGCGAAGTATGAATTGACAGAACATCACAAAGTCGAAGTGTTTTATAACCAAGATTGCCTTAATTCGACGTTTAGTCTTATGGATGTCGCCTACATATATTCTTGGAAAGCGGTGAGCTTGCGTGATCGAGGTCGATCGAGTTGAGTTGAGCAGGTTGTCTTTTAGACGGAGCCGATGGACCTAAAGTTTAAGATTTACGAAGCCAAACCCAAGGTGGTAAATTTGGATGTGTTGGATGGGGATCGGGAGCTTCTGCTCTCGACGGGTAATACCGACCCGAGCAATAACAACAACTGGAAGGAGGTGCAGCTGCGGATAAGCGAGAGCGGAGAGATGTCGATAACGGGCATCCAGGACGCTGGCGTGCTGGAAATTTTGGACGGGGACAACTTTAAAAGCGAGGTGGTCGTGAATAAGTTGACCAAGCTGACGGATACTTCGAAAGTGGAAAGTAGAAACGGTACGGAAGGAGAATCGAAAGAATCGAAATTGCCGGAACCTGAAACGAAGACTATCGAGGGTTCCAAAACTAAAAAGTTGAGCGATAATGTCGTCAAAAAGGAATTGCCGGAGCTGATGCTGATCGCGAAAAATACCGTTAGCGCTACGACCCCGCCTAGCGGAAATGTAGCGATAAAAGTGTCTTCGAGTCAATTGAATTGTAGCCCCGAAGGTGCCACCCTCGTCAATGCGCCTTCGGCACCTCCACCAACAGCAAACAAACTAAATACTCAGGTAAGTGATGTCATAGTTACAGTAGATAATAATAGTAATAATAATAATAATTGTCAATTTATTTAGCACTTGGTTTGATTTTTCCCCCTTTTCTTTCAATAAAGTAAAGAAAACAGTAACAGTAAATAAACATAACAGATATATACATTATTAAAGTACAATAGTGTGTTTTATTAATAATAATAATTATTATTATTGTCACTTTATTTAGCAGTTGGCTTGATTTTTTTTCTTTTCTTCCCAACAAAATAAAGAAAACAATAACAGCAAATAAACATAACAGATATATGCATTATGAAAGTGCAATAGTGTGTTTTATGTAATATTAATAATTATTATTATTGTTATTATGGTCACTTTATTTAGCACCTGGCTTGATTTTTTCCTCTTTTTTTTCCTCCAACAAACTGAAGAAAACAGTAACAGCAAATAAACATAACAGATATATACATATATATATATATATATATATATATATATATATATATATATATATATATATATATATATATATATATATATATATATATATATATATATATATATTATGAAAGTACAATAGTGTATCTAATGTAATAATAATTATAATAATGATAATAATAATAGGAGTGTGGATTTTTCTTTAGAAAGATAACCAATGATCAAAAATATAAAGAAGGTAATGTTAAAATACCCAGCTGAGCAAAGTTTGATCCGAATGAGGCTCAAGCCATCAGTCCGGTTTTGTAGCTTCCATGTTCCCTTCTAATGCTTGAGAAGTTGAATGTTCACAAACCAACTGATTCGATGTTTTGAATACCAACAACATACTACCAAGTTACAGTTTTTTTTTAATACCTAAAAGATTAGTCATTCACAATATGTCAACTCTGCTTCCGTATGGCTGTATGGCTTTTGACGACAATTATATCCGGAAGCGGCTTCTTTTTGAAATAAAAAGCTGCTTCGCGCTACGAACTTGCCCCGTCCAACGACGATTTTTCCAAAGCTATCTTGTTACATACTCGGTTAAGTTAACAGTTCTGCTGACCTGCGCCAATTTTAAAATAAAGGCGGTCCTTGATTTATCAAGAACCAACGCAGGAGGAATCCACAAAATTTGTAAATAGTATTGAAGTATTTGAACTTTCTTTGATCGAACTGAACTTTATTTGACATCGCCTGATGACGCGATTTTCTCAGGTCAACCCCGTGACGAGTGCCGCCTCGGCGACGGTCGAGCATAACGTCGCGATGTCAGCGCGTACATTAAGCGGCGGCAAAGTGGTCCTTACGAGCCAGTCTGAAGGTTTCCGTGCCGGTTCGTTCACTTCTGCGGCCGCGACCGTCAAATGCGCGTCTCTCTCGTCGGGCAGTACGACGACCGTCTTCAGTACCATCAATAAAACCATGTGCAGTACGAAATCTGACGAGTCCAGCAGCGAAGCGAAGAGTTCGGAGCCCATCGCCAACAACAAAATCATCAAACCCTCCACGGCGAATAACGTGGGGAAAGAAGCCAACCATTTGAAAAGGAAAAGTGACGACGCGCCAGTGACGGACACGCCCCCCAAAGTGCCTAAACCCACCATACTGAACCATTCGATCGGTCTGATGAATCTGTCAAATAATCATCCCCTGAAGAGGCATTCGAAGATGAACCGAAACGGGGAGCACCCGAAACAAACGGAAGTCGGCGACAAGTCGCAGTCGGTTACGGTGAATTACGTCACGGTGTCGGCTAAAGTGAGCGTGAGTGAGTCTGGTCAAGCAAAAACCGTCTCGGCGAACAAAAATCCCCAGCTGAACAGGTAAGTCCGCCAGATTAGCATTTAAGCGACTTGGACAATAAGTTTGAGGACAACGGTAGTTTATTATCCCTTAATCTAAATAATTTGTGCCTTTCGACCTTAGACGAAATAATGCACCTAACTCGTAACTAGATTTCATACTTAATATTGCAACTTTGCGAAAATATCCAAACGCGAAAGTATAATTGAAATGGTATATTTAATATCTGGATCTGTTCTTAGATTGCAAAAAAAGTTAAGTAATAATTTCTGACTTTGGTCAGAATAGAAATCTTTCACATATTACATTTTATAATACAAATTGTGCTACATAATATTTTTCCTAAAAACAAAAATATGTTTACTCTATAATTAATACTAGAAAGCGCGTTCGCGAAACGCCACTCGATCGGTTGTGACGTCACGAGGTACGTGGTGACGAGTAACGCGTTGTCGCCGTATATTTTACATTGTTATCCACATTTTTTTTAATATGTTATATTTCTTCCTGCGTGTAACATTCAGCGATGCGTATAGTTTGAAGTTCTTCTTGGCAAACAAAAGTGACTTAAATGTTCAAAATTCGGCAGAGCGTTTTTAAAAACATTTATTTATACAGAAAGCAAAATAAAGTTTTATCCATTAATTAAGAGCAATTTTAGAATGTGACAATCGAATAAATAGGGCTTTTGATGCGGTGTCAGCGAGGAGTTATCTTCGCTTAGCTTTGAGCTTCGTCTGCAGTTTGGGGCATATAATATAGTGTTTGTAACTTTGTTTTTTTTTTCATTCTTTTTTGAACTCGCATCATTTTCCTGTCCATATAGCTTTCCTTATCCCGCTCCAACTGAAAAAAAGACATTGTGTTTGTTGTTGTTATTGTGTTTATACAGTGAGTTAAACACAATAACAAAGTGAGGTTAGGCTAGTACACGGGCTACCTTTTATACAATACACTATTGCATTCTATAAAACTAAGCACTTTTCCCACATCGAGTCGGGCACGTCCAAAACATGCTTTTTAAACGCATCAGCCGCTTCTTCTGGTGTCAAAAATCGTTTATTCTTAATGTATGGAAATAAAAAGAAGTCATTAGATGCTAAATCGGGACTATATGGTGGATGGCTCATCAAATCGACGTTTTTAATGCATAAAAAATTCTTTGTTTGCACTGATCGGTGAGAGCTAGCATTGTCGTCGTGGAGAGTGATTCCATTTTGGCTGTTGGTTTTTCTAATTTCTTCGAAGACTTTCGGCAAACAAATGGTTGTGTACCATTCAGAATTTGACTGTTTTATCTTTCACCAACCAAACAGTTGCAACGGGGCCAACAGGCTACCATTTGTTTCGAGGTGCTTCGCGCACGAACAACTTTTATGGGATTTGTCTCATTCTGAAAGACCCACAAAGCCGACTGCGCCGTACTTTCAGGTTCATATGGATAAATCCATGATTCATCAACTGCCAGGATATCATAGACGTGTTTTCCTTCAAGTTGATGTCAAATTGTGTGGAATCCAACGCGAACAAATTTTTTTAGCGGCCAAATGTTTATTCAAAATTGTATGTATGCTGGTCCCACTGATGCCCAAAGATATCTCAATCTCATGGTAAGCCACACGACGATCCTGCAAAATCAGTTTCCGCACTGCATTAATGTTTTCTTGGACAACCACCGATTTTGGACGACCTTCACGAAATTGATCCTTAAGAAAACTACGACCACGACTGAAGTCCAAAAACCAGCTATAAACAGTAGTCCTAGATGGTGCTTTAACTCCAAACACTCTTTCGCCAAAACCTAACTGAGTAAACCTAAACTCTTCCCTATAAAAACGTTAAGAAAATCCCGAAATATAAAAGGCAGCCTTCGTATTTATTTTTCTTTTAATGTATTGGAAAGTCGTTGTTTAGCTTCTTAAAATTTTGAATAAATAATAAATAAAATGCTTACACTAAAATGCTTTTCACGAAGGTAAACGTGCCTTTTTAATGAAGTGTTTGCAGTTTTTTTTTAAAGAAACTTCCACAGGAATGCTATTTCTAAAACTGCTGGATTCTTGCTGCGTCGATCATTGTTGAATCGAACTTGCTGACGTTTCGCCAATCATCCCTTTGGCTTCTTCGGAGCTTAACTAAAACTGTTAAGCTCTGAAAAAACCAATAGGTGAAACGTCAGTAAGTTCAATTGAACAATAACCGACGCAGGAGGAATTCATAAGTTTCGTAAATAAAATTTCTGACGTCTCTCGTAGAGGACAGTGCCAATGGAAACCACATTGATTTTTTTATTATCTTCCAAGGGCTAAAACAGCTTTAATTTTTCTGTCCTAACTGTATTTCTAGCGACCAGTCTCAAAGTATGCGACCTAAGCGAACATTTATTTTTTTTTGCTTTCCAATTACTGTTGCGTATTGACACAGTTATAAACGCTTTAATACTATAAACTGCTGAGTAAAGGTTCCCATACATATTATATTACTTGTTTCTCAAAGCGTCAGCAATTTGTCTGTATAAAACCACGGTGCGAACCACGTCGCTAGCTTTTTTGTCATCTCGCTTGAATAAAGTTTTTTAAAAAATCAAATTCGGTTTTCACGACGAAAACTGGCGCAGTCACGGTAGGATTTCCGTGAAACAAGCATTCCAAAATCGACACTGTTTGGTCTCTCTCAAGAGTTTATTCGCGAAATCCGAACAACACAAAAAACTGTTCAAGTGGGTGCAAAGTGCTCAATTGGCCAGGGGAAGGAACAAGCATCGTCCACAACCCTATTGGTGCGAAATAAGGAACAAAAATCGTCCGAATTTCATACGTAGCCCAGGGAAGAGACAAGCATCGCTCATCCTATTGGAAAACTAGATTAAGAAACGAAACAACCAGGAATGAAAATCGTCGTTCTCTCACTGTTAATGTAAGTTTTTCTTTTGTAAATATTTTTCTGATTCAAACTGGAAAGATTAATTTCTCGTTTTGAAACATTAGAGTTAAAACCTAGAGTAGCTTCTATCGATAATTTTAATACATCATCTGATTCCGATTCCGATTCTGACATTAATTTAAACACAATGCCGGATACGGTGAATCTTCAATTAGTTAGGTACCAAGCGGATAACATCCCTCATTTCGACGGCAATCCTAAACAAATAAATCGTTTTATTAGAATCTGCGAAAATTTTCTAACTAATCATCAAAATGTAAATAACCCAAATGCATCAATAAATGTTTGTTTAATAGATACAATAATTAGTAAATTAATTGGTAGAGCAGCTGATTTAATAGCTTCTCGTTCTGAACTCGATAGTTGGTTAAAAATTAAAACAGCCCTTCTGGCAACGTTCTCCGATCAAAGATCAGTTGATTGTCTTTTACAGGATATAATTTCAATGAAACCCAATAGTAGCGAAAGTGCGCATAATTTTGGTTTACGCTTGCAAGATGCCCGCAGTATTTTATTTTCAAAAATTAACTCTACATGCGAAGATATCAATATAAAAACTCTAAAAATTATCCAATTTGAAGATCTAATTTTAAAAACATTTATAAACGGTCTTAATTACCATATGCAGTTAGTTGTACGTTTAAGAAATCCAAAATCTCTCGAAGAAGCCATGTCGTTCTCGTTAGAAGAAGAAAATTTTATCGCTTATAAAAATCGTGTTGATATTTCAACCAAAACTACACCTGTTGCAATGCAAAATAAACCAAAACCTCTATTAGGTCAATACCCAATTAATTACCCATTAGCTTCACAAAATTTTACTAGCCCATTTCAACCGCCAACAATTCGACCAAGTTTTAATAATTTTAACCCCCCGAGATTTCAAAATAATTTCCAAACAAGACCTTATTTTCAGAATATTCCAAGACCAAATTTCCAAAATAATCAAAGACAAAACTTCCCGAATATTCAAAGAATTAACCCGATGATCCAAAGACATCAATTTAATCCAAGACCTTACCCATTTATGCAAAGACCTATGCATTCAATTACAAGACCGATGTTTAATCAATATAACCAAAATCCAACCCCAAAATTTGACAAACCGGAACCTATGGATACTTCATCAGGCAATACCCGTATAAATCAAATTCAACCAAATAAAAATTACTATCTAGCAAAAGAGATTGACAATCAATCCACAACCCCCCAAGCTAATTCAAACAACGAAATATCAAATTTTGAAAGTGAAAATCCTTATGATTTTTATTATCACGAATATCCCATCCTTGAAGAACAATACACCTACGACACAAATTATGATACACAAGAATTTTCCGATCAAATATATCAATTAGACGAAAATAACTACTGTTATAATGAACAGGACGGAAATTTTCAGGAAACTCCGAATACAAGCAACCAAACTTAACGCAAAATTTTCCCCAAAACTACACTTCAATATATGTTAATAATTATAATCATTCTGATTTACCAATAGTTTATTTTCCTGAACTTGATGCTCAATTTCTATTAGATACAGGTAGCGCGAAAAGTTTTATAAATCCACAGTTAGCTTACAAATATTACCCAGACTTTATAAATATTGAAAATTTTTCAGTAATGTCAGCTCATGCAACATCCGTTCATAATGAAGTAATGACAATACCATTATTTCCTTCTTTTAATTGTCCTGATCAACAACATAAATTCTATCTTTTTAACTTTTCCCCAAAATTTGATGGACTTATAGGAGTAGATCTTTTGAAACAAATAAAATCAAAAATAAATATTAGCGAGTCTACACTGGAAACACCGAATGTAATAATTCCACTGTATTACCAACATAATATTAAAAACACCCCAGCGGATCCAAAAATAAATAAAAATTTTGACGAATCCAAATTTACATTCGATGAAATTATTATTCAACCAAGAACAACACATAAAGTTAAAATACCCGTGACAGAACAAAATGGTATAGGAATCTTAAAATATAAAAAATTTGTAAATGCTGAAATGCCCGAAGCTTTAGTAAAAATTGTCGATTCATTCGCGTTAACAACCATTACTAACA